GGGAGTTCAAAGGTGTTTACCTATATTTCCCTAATAAAACTGAACTGAACTGGACGTAATCATTTTAAGAGTTTCTTATATAGGGTTTGCCTACAAATGGGTCAACAACATGTAAGGAAGCCCAAGGCGAAGCCGAGCTTCCGCGCTAGTTTTTAACATAGTCTCTAACCCCTACTGGGCCACGTCGGGTGCGTGTAAGTCGGGGAGGGGGTGTTCGCTGACCTTGGGCGAGGTCACTGAGATACAAAACTAACTCCAGAACGATAAATTTGACAACAGCTAATTTGAAGTAGACGACCTCCTAACAACCATTTCCTTTTTTACATAATTAAAAAAAACAATTTCAAATAATATAATAATAAATATAATCCATAAAGACATTGAAACGCCTGCTAGTCCGTTGGTCGTTCATCCAGCATTTTATTGGCTGCAAGTTTATCCGCCAAATGTTTCAAATAGTCACTCACGTCAAAATCAGTCACAAACACATTATGATGACAGGAAAATGACCGATATAGACAAAGGAGGCTGGAAGAGCAAATTACGGCTCATTAGCCATCATCAGCCAGCCATACCCAATGGCAGGACGGGACGAATGGGACTTGTAATCGATGGGCGAGTGCCCATCTACCATTGTTTGCTCATTATGGATATGCAAAATAATGATGGCATGGGCAGAAATGTATCGGTAAAATTAAAGTCACAGATATATTTGTATAATGTTGCAATGCATTATGCTCTGCATTTCACTATGAAAAGCAGAAGACTGTCGAAAATCCATCGCAAATTAATTGCCAGTTCATTCATATTTGTACTGGACCCTAGCATAAAAAGTAAAAAAGCAACCAAAGACACGATTTTCGTGAAACGATAAGGCTTCCGATTTTGACAGTCATTTTTTAAATTAAATATAATTTAATTTGGTGGAACAAGCCATCATGCTTTTAGAAAAACCTTAGGCGAAGAACGTTTGGGGGCCACTGCAATAAATGTATGTGAAATTCCACGTGGTATTTGTAAATACAATTATACAGGCCAGACCCCATTCGCTCCCACTCCACGAATAAACGAGAATAGACTGTTGCCATCTGTTGCACAAGTTGCTGCCCGTTACTTCAGAGACTGACTGCGGATAAGAACAATGATTACAGCAAAAGTTCTACTGAAAGCCCATATTGCTCATATTTAAACCAACACAGCGGTATCCGTCCTGATTAACACAAGTCAAGAATCGATTATGAACTTGAAGAACCTCGTTAACGTCTGATGGTCTTTCAGAAACTACAACACTTCGTTGACAAAATACGTAAATAAAATTCCTTAGACTGACTAAAAAAGTGGGAGTTCAGATGCGAACACAACAAAGCAACAGGGTAAGCGTTTTTTTTTTTTTCATGTGAAAAGTATATTAACTACGAACGCCCTAATAGGCAATATCGGGCACTGAGCGTCATAATGTTTTGTGAAGGCCAATTTCGCTGTCACAGTCTGCCTAGACTTTGACGAAAAGTGGCCGAAAAAGATGGAAAAACCAAGTTGCTTTCGTGCTCCATGGGCTCCCTCCATTGAAAACCTGGAGAGCTATTTACATTTACGGCAGGGATATACGAAAACAAAATAATCGGCGAAACGCAACTTACGCCTTCCAGCTTCTGGGCATCGACGGAGATAAGAGTAATTATGTTGCCCAGACATGCGGTCCCCATGGCTTTCTGATTCAAGGTAAGCATCTAAAGGTGAGAGAGGGGAGTTACTTAACGGACAGTGGGTGAAGAGAAACCGTGTATGATCCACTTTTTCATGTGATTTGTAAGTAATCGAAGATATACATGTCGGGAATGGCACCGAATGAAAACAAGGAACAGTAAAATAAAGCAGTGTACTTCAGAGACTATCGTACTGGATACAAGCATCTGAAAAATATGGAAATTGCAACGTACAGCACCGAAATACGGCAAGCCTACTGAATCTACTATTCATTATTTACTGCTGTCTTTGACAATGTTGTTCCCAGTGTGAGTCCGAAACATCGGACGACTTAAGTCCTTGTTCCAGTGATGGAGATACCCTCTTCTCAAATGATTCTTCCAACTGGCTTGTATCTAAACAAATGTGTATCAGAAGCCGGATTTACATAGTCACTTATGACCTTCGATGGGCGATCAGGTCGTAGAACGTTTTCGTCCCATCCTGTTTTGAGACTGAATGTAAACCCACACAGGGCCGTGTAGGTGGATGAATGGTAGAGCGTTGGCCTCAATGACCAAAGACCCCAGTCTTCACACCCGTGGTTGGGTATGAATGGTTGATGACGACTAACTAATCATGGATGGTTATTTCAGTCTTCCTTATCGTACATACCTGCGTTATCGACCTGCGCTTGTTATGACGCAGACAGATATACAACCACGAATAGAAGTGAATATGCGTGCTCCAGGTTCGTGTTGTGAAA